ATATATATATATATATATATATATATATATTGTATAATAAATGCGTATTTTTAAGTTAAGCGACATCGTTCTTCCATTAGAGAACACAACAATGACGTTCATTTTTTTTAGAGAGTTCTTTAATCGTCCCGATCCGCCGCATCGATCATCTTTCCGATCAGACACGGACGCTAAAAGGATAACGCGAGGTGTCGAGTCGAGATAAATCGTGTGTATCAAATTTCTCCCAAATTTTGCGGCCCTCGGCGACCGCAGTGCGGAAGACCGAGATGCGTCGGTGAGATTTATCGCGATGCTTTTTTGGACCACTGTAATTTTGCAAGATGATCGCCAGCGTAACCGCTTGATATATCGAGTTCTCGTTACACTTCTCGTACAAGAAGAATAACTTTTCTTTGATGGCAATCAACAAATCACACGTGAGCACTTATCTCATGCGTGTTGCAGGATTACGTGGCCGTCCAACATATCAATATAAGCCGAATTAAAGATATAAAGCAATATAAAATGATATGTGACTAAAGTGATGTACAATGAACACCTAATGAAAATTAAAATCTTCGGGAATTATTTAATAAAAGAAATTTTATAAATACCTTTCATCAAATAAATGGTTTTATTTTTCAGTACTTTCTTAAACCAAAGTAAATCTTTTTTTAAATAAACATTTAATTTAACAATTTTATTTTAAAGTAATTGAACAACTATTTAAACTTTTATTATAAAAGTTTAAATATAAAAAAGAATTAAATAATTTATGTACAATAATTAAAGTTTGCCGTTAGTGGATATAACCGCCAAAAGTTTTTAGCTAATTAATTTATTGTTTTGCTCACAAGGAGAGGAAACAATGGATTTGTCATGTATTTTAATCTCTTTTAACATAATGAGTAAAAATCTTCATAAAACTATATATCGGAACAACATATTTAATGTTCGGATTAAAAACTATTTATAATTACTGGTAGCACAAAAAAAAGTCTGATGGAGCAATTGGAGAAGTGATTCAAAACGATAATGCAACGCTGACTCAAGAATTACACGTTTTGCATCAGAACCTTAAGTAGGACACATAGACTCATAATTAAGTCATAATGATGTCATAAAAAGACGTCATCACATGACATCATTTAATTAAAAATAAACTTAGAAATAAACTTATAACAAATAAAATCATATGATGATACTTTTATGATAACATTATGATTTCTGCGTTCTACTTGAGATTTTGTGACTTAAGAGGATATCCAAAGATGACTTCATAGAGTTTTCGCAAGCTGTGTGAATGTCGTTAGAAGTATATTGTCTCCAGGGAGAATTATTTTGAAGAATAATAATCATTTGTATATTAATTAAGTTTATTTTCTCATTATATTCACCAAACCTTATTGCCACACGATGAATGTGAAAATGAAGATATATATGTATAATAGTTGTAAAAGATTAATAAATTACAATTTAATACCAAACACTTCGACACTTTTATGTTTACTAGTTTCCCCATTCCACGCGCGATGCTGCAATTATCACCCTTGTTCTAGTGAAAATTTCATAATGATAATAAAAAGTTGCCAAAATGTAAAAAATACGGGCCAAAAGTACAAGTTTCAAAGATTACTATTCATTAAACAAATTTGAATTAGCTTTGGTAGAAGCCGAGAAAAAAATGTTTGAAGATGGCGCTTTTTGGTCATTTTTCGACTTTACATCGCTTATAGTTCGAAAAGGAAGCTTTTTTTCAAAAAAATGACAAGAGTAAAAACATTTTATTTTGACCCAATTTAGCTAGTCCATGAGTTTCCGGAACGATTTATTAAATTATTCATATTTTTTTAAGTTTTTTGTTAATAACTAATTACTGACCATTCGTACAAAAAAATTTTATTGACATTTTTTGTTCGCAATAACATCATACATCGATCCCAATTGGTTTCATTCCGGCAGCTTTCATTGATCGGTCAAGAAGATTTTTTGTGCGTCTTTTCGAGGGTACACCGCTCGCCTAATAGATTCGCGATCAAGCAGAGCCAGCAAAATTCAATTAAATTCTACACGAGACAACAAACAGCTAAACACGCTGAACACAAGCATAGATAGAAAGAGAGAACCGAACGTAATATGTAGAAAGACCACAAGTTGACTTCGCGCATCAGACCGGTCAAACATAAACAGTGCTACACGCACGAGTACTCTGTATACGTGATCAATTCTCGCGTAAACAAATATAGTATATCGTTTAAAAGTAAAGTTTGTTAAAAAATTAATTTAAGTAATTTGAATTTTCTATTTACATAACATTCTATTTTTGTTCATTTTTTACAAAATAAAATATAGCATTACTGTGCTCTTCGCCCTGATAAGATAAAGCAAACTTTACGAAACGTTGGCGTTAGCAATGAACCTTTCGGTATCTTTGAAATAAAATATCGAAAGATATCAATATATAATTTATTCAATGTTGTTTCGACGTGTTGCAGCAACATCAATAGTCAATGTAGAAAAATCAATAAAGATTCAACATTGTGATAAAACATTCATATTTTAACATTCAACACCTCAGCAACGTTGTTTCAACATTTCTATGCTGTATTGGTGCAAATCAGTTGAATGTACGTTCCTTTTTATTCTGTTAAATGAGCTTCAACTAAGTTTGTATCTACACTTTGCACAAGCTCGAGCCCTTATGCACTGAATCTTGTTAACTCACATTAAAAGTAAGACTATAAACCTATGTTGTTATGCGATAACCCTTTGTCACCAAAGTAAGCAAGTAATGACGTCGTTATCTCAATATAAAGTACATAACTTTAGACTTAGTATCACTTGTGTGTGATGAAAAGCAACTATTATTTTATTGCAATATACACACACACACACACATACATATAGGGGAGACCGGGGCACCATGAATCACAAAAATTCAAACAGTAAAAAATTTATATAATTAAGAGATAATATACATATATTTTAAGATTTATTGAGCATTTTTCATAAATATTGATTTGTTTTTTAAATAAAAATTGAAAAAAAAATTTTTAGAAATAACCCCTGGTACCCCATGCCGAGGTACCAAACACATATATACTCTTAGACGACCTTCTTTTATATTTTCTAACCATTTTTATTGTGTTTTCTGAAAGAATATAAAAGAGTTTATATTGCCCAATTTTATCACAAAAATTTAACCTAATCGTTAAGCCGAGTAGAATATTTAAAACGTGATACATATATTGATAACAATCTAAAACATTAGATAATAATTAATTTAATATAAACTTAAATATTAATTTGAAATATGACCTTGATGAAAATTAAAATCGGAGCATAAGTCGCGAATATAAATTTTTAGATAAAATAATTTAATAGAAGGCTCAACAAGTATAAAACAAATTAATTAAAAATAACTAAAAAACTGAAAATAATAGAAGCTTGAATGAAATTTCTAAGAAGCGAAAATTGAAATGAAACGTAAAAGAAGTGTAAACGCCTCTTTTACATTTTGTCTCAATTTTTGCCTCCTACGCCGGTATTTATAATCAATTCTTATACAATATTTGAGATTGTTTTAAGTACAATCTTAAGATGTCATAATTAGAGGGCTGTATTATAGCATCTTAACACATTACTTAATACGGTCTTGAAATAAGAATGAACTAATGAATAAGAATTTTATTTTAACTTCTGTCACTATCGCCAAGAAAAAAACAGAATGGTCAGTGCACAGTTATTTCATTAGATACGTATTTTATAGATAACGAATTGTTAAGCCCATTCTACAATTGCGTAAGCGTATACATAGATATAAATGATTGTTATATTTATAAGAATTGATAAATCACAATCGAATATTCTTCTCATATTCGACTGTGGTCAATTCTTATAACTACAATCAGGGCCGGAAACTTACCAAAATTCCGAGTGTGGAGTTCTGTTATCGGTCTCGCGGGGGGGAGGGGGACAAAAACTGTTACACATTGTATTTTACTTTTTCTTACTAAGAAGCATGTTTATTGCTGTTTACAACTGCAAACTTTGATCGACGAACTGCATTTGCGCATATAAATGTATTTACAATTTTGTTCAAATCTAAGGTTTCAGTTATATCGCAATGAATATGGAGGATTGCGAGGCTATTTAAGCGGCTTTGCCCCATCGTGGATCTTAAGTATGTTTTCATTCTTCGTAAAGTTGAAAACGAGCGCTCAGCAATGCATGATGTTGTCGGGATTGTGAGTAAAATTGTTGCTCACTGATCGAGTGCAGTTCGGCCAGTGAAACGCTATACTAAATCATTTTGGAAAAAATTCGCCAAATTTCGAGTGTGGAGCTCTCCACACACTCCATATATAAGTTGCCGGTCCTGACTACAATCACACTGAAAGAAAACTTCACCATTCGTCGAATCACACTGTGAAAGTATTGCGAAGCAGAAGTTACTTTTACTTTTCTTTCTCTTTCTATTTATTAGTTATG